ACCAGGTAGATGGTTAGGAAGTTAGTAGAGTTAGTTTATTAGCAGCTGGAATTTTTCTAGGAAAGTGAATGTTTCATCCCCTCATTTGAGACACGCGACCATTATATCGCAAGTTGGTGGAGTTCACGGCGGTGGCAGAGCTTGAAACCCTGACCTCCGCCTCACCCAAGCCCTAAAATTTGGGGACCAACCAATTGGGCCACAGGCCCGGTTGGCTATTATATTATTATATCTTAAATATATATTAAACATATATAAAATGCTACCCTATTTAATGCATAGGGTAGCATTTTATATATATATATAGATAAAGTGTCATGATCTCCTCCATATCTGTCATTCTAATTAACTCTTTTTCTGTCAATCGGGCCTGTGGCTTAGTGGTTGGCCCCCAAGCCTTAGAGTTTGAGTGAGGTGGGAGGTCAGGGCTTCGAACTCTGCCACCGCCGTGAACTCCACCAACTTGTGACTTAATGGTCGCGCGCCTCATCTGAGGGGTAGAATGTTCACTATTCTGAGAAGTCCCAGTTACTAACATCTAACTCTACTAACTTCCTAACCATTACCCTTGTCCAAAAAAAAAAATTCTAATGTTTTTCTAAGCAAGTAAAATAAGGATAGTAATATATGGATAATTTTTTATATAATTTTTTATATAATTTTTATATATCATTAAATAAATATATTTAATATTATAGATTTTATATAAACAAAAAATTAATTATTTAAATAATAAATAAAATCATATTTAAGAAATAATGTAAAAAAATAATCCCTAAATTACTTTCAGTAAAAAAAATTCATAGCGTGAGCCTATCATAAGATTTTATTGTTAGACTTAGATTGTATGACACCAAGATTTTTTAGTGGGGTTTTTTAGGTAAGATTATGAATGAATTAATACCACTCCACTTATGAATTATGACATCTATCTCAAAAAAAAAAAAAAGAAAAAGAAAAAAAGAATCTTCTTTCTATAAACAAGAAAATTACGTACATGGTTTTATGCCGGGCCACAAAAAAAAAAAAAAATGTAGGAGTACATGATTTTATGGCCCTCCTAAATAAAAAGGAAAAATGCAAATGGTTTTAAGAATATATTTATTATATATTTTTATAATTAATTTGTATAAATAAAAAATTATGAAAATATATTTTATTTTCAATACTAATGTTTCGTGAAATAATTTAGTTAGATAATTAATAAAATTTAAATTAATTTTTATTTTTTATATAAATTAATAATAAAAAATATAAATATTTGAAAATTCTCAAAGTTTTAAATAAATTTATATCCCCAAATTCACTGCTACATTTACTCTTCTATAGTAGTAATTATTGTTCTTTTTAGTCAAA